GCTTTATGCCGACCGCTGCGCTCTTGCCACCACGCATTGTCATGGCAGCGCCCTCTTCCCTGAGGCCTCCGCGTCTCGCCACCCTGCGACGCGCTCGGGTGCAGATGCTGTCGCCCTCGGCTGGATCACTCGCGGCCGCGTCGATGTTGCCAGCGCTGCTCGGCTTCTGGAAATCCGAGTACGGTGTCAGCTACGCGTACGGCACTGCGACGTTTCTTTCCGGAATACTTGTACTGCCATCTGCAACCACGCGCATCGCGACAGCGCATGCAGCCTGCCTTGCGCTGTACGGGCTGAGGCTGAACGCCTTTCTGCTGTACCGTGAGCTGAGTATCGCCCGCTTCCGTGAGTTCCGCGACAAGATCGAGGCGCGCGCGCTCGAGAAGGGCGGCCGCCTCAGCAGGGCTCCCTTCATCGCCTCGTGCGGCCTCCTCTACCTCGGGCTCGCCGCGCCGCTGATGCTCACCGCGCCCGCCTCCGCCCCTCCCGCCCTCGCCGGGGCCCTCGTCTGCCTGATGTACGCCGGCTGGCTCACCGCGGCGGCCGGCGACGCGTGGAAATCTGTGGTCAAGGCTCGCAAGGGCGAGGACGCCCTCGTGACCGGTGGCCCGTTCCGCCACCTGCGACACCCAAACTTCAGCGGCGAGATGCTGCTCTGGGGTGCGAGCGCCGCCGCCGGCGCCGCCACCGCTGCCACGAATTTCGACGGCCGCGGCGTGCTCGCTGCGTGCGGCTGGCTCTCGCTGAGTGCGCTCGGCTGGGCAGGCATCAGCTTTGTCCTCGCACAGGCCGCCACCAGCCTCGAGAAGCGGCAGGCGGCGCTGCAGCCCTCCCGCGCCGCGCCGCAACCCTCGCGCCGCGCCGCCTCACGCACTGCCGAGACCGCCGCAGGCGCAAAAGTACGCGGGGACGCCGGGCTTCACAGAGTGGCGGCGAGGCGCTTGGCCGGGCATCACGCTCCCGCAAAAGCAGTGGCCTGCTGTCGGCGGCAGCGCGGGCCCGCACCGCATGGCCGGCCGCTGGCCGCCGCCAAGCCGAGCCCGTTAGCTGCTCGTGCTGGCGCGGCGATTGTACTGGATGAGACAGATACGATTGTTTTTACCTAAGCTTTTACGATTGTCTGTATTTTTCAGGCCGCGGCGTCCTGCGCAACTGCAGTCGTCTGCATGGCACGATGACACAACCCATAGGAATAAATACTTGTGTCGCTAGTGTTCGAACAAGCGGTCGTGTCGTGCACCTCGGGTGTTGGGGAGGTCGTGGGAGCCGCTCAGGACCATTTTGGGGGCGCAATTCGCCTGGTTTCCCTTGAACACGCGGCAAAAAACTTCGTAACTCCTTGGCGACGAGCCGCGGGCTTTTGCCATTGCGTGCCAGCCTCAGACAGCCGGGCCGCCCGAGAGTTTTACTGACGAGTTTCTCTCGCGGGGGCGGCCCGGCACAACCAACCCTGTGCTCAGCACAAAAAAATTCTGGCGCAGCGGCCGGCGTGAGCCGCGCCAGCTGTCGACAGATGTCGACAGATTCGATGGATTTGATGGATCCCTTGATGGTCCGATGGGCGACGGGCGACCCCCCCAAACCCCCCCACCAGGTCTCGAACCTGCCTCCACTCGCTCGAATCAGGCGCTCCGAACGGCTTTGCAAGCCGGCTTGCAAAATTGACGACCAACGCTTCACTGCCTGATATAGTACCATTTTGTTGCTTCAGCATCAACGCCACGCCACGTTCTAGGGACGCAGAGCGCGCACTGAGAGACCACTCACATCGCTGTTGCGGGGCGGCAATGTGACTGGACTCGCCGTGCGCGCCCAGCTAACCCTAGCCACCAGCCTGCGCCATACCCAGGTACGGTCGCACCTGTCTCTCCACCTATCATCCCAACTCCTCGGGCGACCGCGCGGCTGCGCTACTCACAGGCAGTCTCCCTGCCTCAGCTGTTACAGGCACCACCCACCGACCAGTCTCGACGACGAGCCGCGGCAGGGCTCGCTGCGCCGCTGCACAGCTTTACGCCACAACACAACATATCAACCAACGTAACCTCCCCCTTAGTGACCCACCCTTGCGGGCTCAGTTGCCGCATTAGGAGCCTTCGCACCGCGAGTGGGCTCAGGTGGGATCCACGGAGAGAGAGGTTCCATACACAGCCGCACTCTACACACCTTACCCCCTCTACTCGGGCGGCATCGTGGTGAGACCCTGGGCAGTCAGAGAGGCTGACAGTAAGTGGCGGGCTGAGAACTCGGGCCTCTCCCGACCCGCCATCGCTGCCTAAGGGAGGATCCTATCGGCCACTAGACCATGACAGATCAGAGGCGCACACGCCCTGTCCCAGCTCCCCCACTCCTCACACTGGGTTTGCAGTGCGCGGCCTCGCCACCTCCCTACCAGGGCAAACCCCCTCTCTCCCCCTAGGTGCTGCACTTGACGTCCATAGAAGGCGCGAGGCAGAGGCGGGAGGGAGGCGGGGAGAATCTAGCTCGCTCTGGCAGGGAGGCAAGGGTGTGATAGAGTGTTTGGGTGAGAACAGGCGGAGTGTGTGTGCCTGTACGCGATTGGGAGAGCACTTGTGACGAGGCATGGTTAGGCGAGTGGCAGTCGCTAGTGCGGACTTGCTAAGTCGTGTGTGCTCCCTTTTGCTGGCTAAGACTGGAACAATTTTTTCTTGAACACGCGGTTTCGCCCCCTCGGGAGCGCCCACATAATCGCGCGTCCCCCCCTGTGGCGACGGTCTCGCGCACCTGCGCCAGACCCCACCGCACTAGCTACATACATAGATCGTCAGCAGTAGGCGTGCTCAGAGCCCGGATTTGGGCCCATTCGCCAAAGGGCTCGAGAATGGCGCCCGGCAACGTGCAGCTGCAGGCCAGAGGGCGTGAGGTGAGGCCGAATCCGCAGTCGCACGAGCACCGCTGCCCCCAGCGGTGATCATGCATGGAGTGGCACGGCGGATAGGCCCGCCTGCGAGCGTGGAAGACAGTCGCGGGGCGTGAGGTCTCAATGTATCGCAGGCTAGGACCGGATACGGCGGCGCGGGAGAGGGAGGGAAGCGTGAGCGGCGGGCGATGAGAGTGATTTCCCCGATCTCGCTAAAAATGGAATGGGCCCCTCACGGGGGGCCGGGCGAGCACGCACCTCGCGTCTGGGCGCGAGTCGACGAGTGGTCGCCGAGAGATCGCCGAACCACGTCTCGAGTGCGCGCGCACACAGCACAGCTGCGGGTTGTAACTCGACTGCCGATCGCGCGTGCGGGATGTAAATGCAGCTTTCTGGCGCCAGTGCACGGTGGCAGGGACTGGAGGCTCGGCCGAAGGGGAAGAGCAGTCCTCAATCGTCACGTAGAGGTCGCTGGGCTGGATCCATCGAACTGCCACACACCTGGAGCGGAGGCACATCAGGTCTTGCGGCACGCTCTCCGACAGATGCATGCCTTTTGAGCAAGCCCACGCGCCTCCACCGTCGCGTAGTATGCCAGCGGCACGCCGGTACGCCTACGTGTCGTGCGCGCTCGGCTGTAATCGGCGTTGAGACTGCCTAGCGCGCACATCGAGAGCGCCGAGTTGCCTTGCCGCGGGGTAACCGGCTCAAAGAGGTGGGGTTCGAGCGGCGCCTGAGCGCGTGGGAATGCGTAGTGGGCTTGGAATGAGACGCCTGGCGTGCATCGGGCTCGGACGGTGTCTGTTGTGAGCTCACCGCTCGACGCACAAACCAGGCGCTTTAGGCGCCCGCCAACTGGCCTCACGGTCGAGAGAGCGGAACGCGGCTCGCCGAACAGCAATACACGTGGCCGCACTACTGTAGAGGTACGAACAGGTATGCAGATCGCGGCGCGCCGACACTGGCACGGCGTCAGAGCCAATATTGAGCAAGGGCTCTGCTGGCCACCCGACTCGCCGGTCCCTTCGGGCTCACAGCACGGCTGGCCATCGCGTGAACAGGACGTGCCCTTCCGTTTTAAGGCAGTTCAATACCTTCCCCACGGGACACCAGGTCGGTATCCGGCTAAACCACACGACCCCGAGAAACGTATAAGCCGCCCCGGCGCTGCCTCCGATTCCGGCCGTATCGGCCATTTCGCTGGGGCGGCTTATGCGTTTCTCGCCAAAATGGTAAAGATGTCGAGCCAAAGCTGTTGACGCCGAGTTCGGCACCCGATTCGCCTTAAAACTGAAGGCGGGGGCGCGGCTCGGAGATGGCAAGGCACGGCGAGTGCAAACGTGCGGCTATTATGACGCTTTAGGGGCTCCAAAACCTCCTTTTCAGTGGTAAGCGCCACCTGGCACCTCGCGCCGTGCCCCCCAGCCGCGTGTGCGATCGCCCACGGATCCGGGGCGGGGGATGGGAGCCCGAAACGTCCACACAAGTATGCTCGGAGGCTCGTCAGAATGGTTTTTCAAGCGTTGTGTCATCGTGTGCGAGCGCAAGGCGGTGGCAAATTTTTCTTCGCCTCCGGCGGGGCTGCTCGCCGCGCGGGGCAGAGAGGGACTTTTTGTCGATGTCGGCTAGTGCTGCACCTTTTTGAGAATTTCAAAACACGAATAAATAAATCAACACATACGCACCCGGCGACCAAGCAACAACACCGCTCACAAAAAACTCTACAGTCTTGCGAGCCGATCGCACGCCTTCTCGATCGCCTTGAGCAGCGCCGGTGAGGCCCTCCTCACGCCGTCCGCAGCCTTGATTGCGTCCTCGAGCTCCTCCACCGTCAACGCCGACGAGAGGGCTTGTATCGCCTGCTGCTCGACGGCAGCCTTGCCCGGCTTCTCCTTGCGGCCGCCGCCACCGCCTCTCCTCCCCTTCGGCCTCTCCCCTGCCTCCGCCTCGCCGCCGCCCTCCTCGTCGGCCCGATTGCGAGCAGCATCAAGGGCCACGCCCGCCTCCGCCGCCACTCCCGCCTCCGCCTCCGCCTGCGCCTCCGCCGCCGCGCCCGACCCTGCCGCCTCTGCGGCCGCCTCTGCTGCCGCCTCTGCCGCCGCCGCCTTCTCCGCCGCCTCGCCCAGCGCGTCCAGCCTCGCCTCTGCCCTCGCAAGCAGCGCCCTCACCTCGTCCCACTCGGCGGCGCCGTCGCGCGCGTGCGACACCGCGCGCCTGTGGACATGTCTCAGACATGTCATGCGCGTGTCCTTGGACGCCCCGGACATGCCGAACACGTGCGACACCGCGCGCCTCGCCGCGTCCGCCCTCGCCTTGAGCGCGCTGAAGCGGAGCAGCAGCTCGTCCAGCGGCACGGAGAGCTCGACCGGCCCCGAGAGGTGCGTGCGGAGCGCCGCCGTCACTCTCTCCCGCCGCGCGGTCTGCTCAGCCATCCACTTCTGCTCGCGCCTCCGCTCGGCCTCCGCCTCCGCCACTCGCTGATGCGCCGTCCGCGCGGCCTCCTCCTTGGCGCGCGCCTGCTCGCAGCGGCAGGATGTGAAGAGACGCCGAAGCGCAGAGGCGGCCTCCGCCCTCCCTCGCCTGCGCCGCCGCCATCTGCTTGGCCGCTTCCTCCTTCCGCCTCTCACGCGCCCTTGCACGCTCCGCAAAGATCTCTTCGCGGCGGCGCTCCGCGGCGCACGCAGCGCACTTGCAGTCGGCGCGGTGCTGCGGAGGCGGCTCAAAGTCCCAGGCGCGGCCGCCGCCTCTGTTCGGGGGCGGCGGGCCAGCGTACCAGCGCCGGAAGAGGTCCTCCCAGGACGAAGCAAAGTGGTCGGCGCCGGTTGCAGAGTCGGCGGTGTCCTCGTCCGATTCATCCGCGTTTGCGCCCCACCGGCGAGGGTTGTCGTGGTACTGCTGCAGCCGGTCCCACGCCTCGCCGATCGACTGAAACTTTGAGGTGGCGCTCGGGTCGCCAGGGTTGCGGTCTGGGTGATGGCGCAGAGCGCACTTGCGGTAGGCCTTCTGGGCGTCCTCGCGCGAAGCGGAGGGCGGCACGCCGAGCAGGTCGCAGGCGTCGGCCAGGCGCATATACATTGCAATGCTGGAACGCGCGCGCGGGCCGCACCCCCACACCGGTATCCCGCCGCCTCCCTCGCGGCCGGCGGGCCGGGCGCGACGTGGTTTTTTTCTTTTTCGCTTCCCTCTCACCGATACCGCCAACCCTCCCCTGGTGTTTCCTTTTCTCTTTGGCTGTGTCGTGGACACACTTCTTTCTTTGAGTATTTATCCGCGCGGGACGACTGAGGACGGGTGCGGCGCGCTGTGGGACAGCGTCCAGGGCCGCGGACCGCGTTTGGGGAGTGAGCGCGGCGCTATCCACGAGAGTGCCTCGGCCGGCGTATGCTCCCCGTGAGATATAGCCACGCTGACGGAGTCTGGCATAGCTCGTGGCCTCCCTCGGCCCCGCTCTGGCCCGACGCCTCCGGGTCGCTGCTGCTCGCCTTGCTCTCCCTCTCCCCCGCGGCGAGCGGCTCGTGCTCGTGCTCGCTCGCCCTGCTGCTCATGCTCGAGAGGAGCTCTCGGGCAATGTCGGCGGAGCTCTGGTCCTGGCGCGGGCGCACCGCAGCGTCGCCCGCCTTGCCGTGGTACTCGCACACGATGGCGGCGAGGAGGAGCAGCCCGCCCGCCGCGTACTTCTCCGTCCATGGCTTTGGGAAGAGGAGGAAGGAGATGACGACCGTGAGCGCCTTGCGCATGGTGGTGACAAACACGGCGGCGACCGCGCCGCTGTCCTGCATGAGCCGCGTGTAGAGCAGCGCGCCCAGGTAGAAGAGTACGCAGCGCAGCAGCAGCAGCGCCCAGTACACCCAGCTGCGCGAGAAGAACGCGACGGCGGGCAGCAGCTCGCCCGTGTAGAGGGTGAGCAGCAGCGTCACGAGGAAGCCCCACCCGTTGGAGAGCGTCATCGTCTCGTGGACGGTCGCGCCGTGGTCTCGCAGCAGCCGGTCGGTGCTCGTGTTCTGCAGCGCCTGTGCAAAGAGGCAGAGGAACGAGAGCAGGATCCCCGTCGGGCTGAACTCAGTCTCCACCTCGCGCTCGCCGAGGCCAAAGAGCGACGCGGACGCGACCATCAGCAACGCGGCGGACAGCTGGCACGCGTTGTACCGCCGCTGTAGCCAGCAAACGGAGAGCGCCATCACGGGCAGCAGCTTCATCGACTTGAGCACCGTCCCGGTTGCATAGTTGAGGTGCTTGAACGCCAGCTTGCCGAGCCCGGTGCCGGCGGCGAGGCTGCAGCCAGAGACCGCGTAGAGGCGCATCGGCCCGCTTGGATGCATCGACGGCATCGACAGCACGGACCTACCCTGCTCGCTCGCAGAAGAGGCGTGACCGAGCACGGTGAAGAGGAGCAGCTCGATCAGCGCCACAAACCAAAAGTAGTGGAACCCGTGCAGCTGCTTGAAGATCCACTCCTCGATGATGCAGCTGAGCTGGATGAGGCAGATGGTGCCGGTGGCGAGGAGGAAATAGCGCCGGTCGCAGGCAGGCATACACACGAAGTGGTGCGGCCCGCGAATGCGCTGGTGCACGTAGAACTTGGACGCCCTTGCGCGAGGGAAAAATACGCGATTTCTTGTCCCTGCGAACGCGCACCCCCGGGGCTAGGGCTCTCTAGCCCGTAACCCGATACCGATCATCCGGCCCGCTGGGTGCGCTTCTGAGCTCCCCGGCCCTGGATGTGAGGTTACCGACTGCACTCCAAGTGCTCCAAGTGCTTCTCTCTGTTTGTCTGTTTGTCCCATCCCTCCCTTGGGTTGTCTGTTGTCTGTTTTCTCTTTTTTCTCTGGGGGTTGGCGGCTTTCTTTCTTTCTTTCTGGCTTCTGCCTGTGCATGCCTTCTCTCTGCCACGGGAGAGAAAAGCCACGGAGCACGGTGAGCCACCCGCGCTACATGTACATGTTGTTGTTGTAGGTCTCGGGGGACGCAGGGGTCAGCCCCGCGCGACCTCGGGAACTAGCCGGGGCAGTCGGAGAAGGGCAACTCCGTGCACTGACGGTCGGCCGTCAGAAACCACGCCTGCGTGGATCGCGTCACACCAATCCTCGCTAGTCGCTACCCAACGGCAACGCGGCCAAAGGATGTACATGTATATCCACCTCGAGAACCTCGAGAACCACGGATCCACGGTGAGCACATTTTCTTTCTCTGCCGTGCCGCTTGGGCATTAGCCCTTACAAGGGTACTTCGTACATAGCCGGTCGGTTGCTCGCCTTCTGTCTGCTTACTTCCCACCTCACAAGATGGGCAGCGCGAGAATGATTTTTCAGGGTCGCCGGTCCGACGAACAAACACACACACAGGGTTGCCGCGACGGGCGCTCACGAGGTCCACACGTATGTGGCTCGCGCGACAGCTCTCCCTGTCCGGAAGCGACCTCGAGCTGCCCCTCCGTAGCAGCGAGATCCAAAGCAGTGAAATCCAGCTCTTCCTTCTCTACCACAGCTGCCAGAGCGCCCGCCGCATGCAAGTGGATCGCCTCGCCTCAAAGCTGTTCAAAGTCCACACCGTCGGCTTGAGTGCAGGCCTGGCGCCCGACTGCACAGCCCGATTGCCGAGCAACCTCACCATTGCGGACCTTGCCCCCTTCTATCGCACCTCGCTCGGGCAGCAGTATCTCTCGCTCCTCGCCGAGAACGCTGCCATCATCGCGCTGGGCTTGCGCATAACCACACTGCTCTCACCAAGCTGCAGAGGGAGAAGATGCTGGGTGGGCTCTGCGTCGTGGAAGGTGGTCGCGGACTCTACCAAGCTGTTTGACCCTGCCTGCCAGAACCTCGAGTCGATTGCGCGCCGGCTGAGGCCAGCAGAGCTCGAGCAGCTTCCAGAGCGCGCCACACTCTACTGGTGGGGAGAGAGGCAGCTCGTGCGGTGGAAATCGGATGTTTCACGACACGCGCGACGGACGGACCGTGAGCTACACAAATCGACCATCTTGCAGCCATTCTTCGAGTGGCTCGGTGTCAGCTATGAGGCGGCCGCAGCCTCTATCCGCGCAGACGGGCCTCCTCTTCCGTGGGCAAACTGGTGGCTGGCGCCACCTGACGTGGCTGCAGACCTGGCCAAGCTCCACCTGCTGCTGTACTCCTGGCTCGAGGCCCGCTGGCCGATGCGGGAGGTTGGCTGCAACGGGACCGTCTGGCGGGACAACCCGCAACGCTGCTGGGCTTACGCGGGTGAAGAGCTGACACTGCTCTTCCTCGTTTCCGAGACCAACCTGCACCACCTCCGCTGCGCGGGCCCGCCGGCGCCGTTCCACAGCAGCTCCACTTGGCTCGGCGGCTCCCCGGGTACGCTCACGGAGCGAGTTAGGGAAAGATGGTTGACTCTAAATGACAATTGAGTCTTTGTATCAGGATATTCACGTGTGGTGTGCGTTTGGTCTGGGCAATCCGTCGCCTTCGTCAAGCGTTTCCTTCCGCTGCACTAAATTCTCGGGCTGATTCTTCTGTGTGTTGAATATGCGCGCCTCCCTCCCAAGTTTATGCGCGCGTGTGGTGCCTGGGCAGCCCCCGGTTTCTCTTCCTCGGTGGTTCTCGCGACCGCAACATTGGCTGTATCCGGATATTCGCGTGGTGTGCGTTTGGTCTGGGCAATCCGTCGCCTTCGTCAAGCGTTTCCTTCCGCTGCACTAAGTTCACTTGGCGAACTTGGAGGGCTTTCAAATTCTTGTGTTGAATATGCGCGCGTCCCAAGTTTATGCGCGCGTGGTGCTTGGCCCCCTTTCTTCTCGCGACCGCAACATTGGCTTGGATCGCCTTCAAACGCCCACGCGCGCCTGTAATTTTGCCACAGGCAAAGAGCTGCTTGCAAACCATTCGGAGAGACCTGGCTGGTGCCGCCGTTGCTGTGGTAATAACAATAAGTCCGCACTCTCGGAGCAGTGGTGACCGCCGCTCACTCACACAGCTAGTCTCGGCACTGTCAGCGAGGCTTAGTGTGCGCGCCCTGATCGATGCGAAGGGTGGAAAGTGCAGTGAGCTGCCGCAGACACTCCTGAACTGGTTGGCAACGAGCCGTGCGCATTGCGTCCAGGGGCCAAACCAAGGCGCGCGTGAGTCGCACTCCATCCTGCGCTTCTGCCTTACGTTCTACGACCATCTCCCTTCAGTTGTGCTCTTTGTTCAGGACGATCCCAGCATTCCAATGCTCAACAAGGTCGGCCTGCTCGCTGATGTCGACGCGTGGGCCGCCAGGTTCCGGCTGGAGAGTGATGAGCGACGGCTGCAGCAGCATGGCACACCACAGCGGCCATGGGCAGTGAGGTCTCCCGAGGCATGTCCCTGCTGGGTTGAGGATGAGAGCACAAGTTCCGTGGTGAAAAAGCTCACCAATGACTCGGCGGCGTACGGCCACGCGCGCTCTCTTCACTGGTGGTTGCGAACATTTCTCGCCCTCCCTACAATCCCCTCGACGATCCCGTGGCCGCAGCATGCGGAATTCGCAGTGACGCGGGAGGCCATACGCGGTCGCTCAAGGCGCTTCTATGCCATGAACCTTGCACTCGCCTCGCTGCCGTCGCCACCGACCACGGCGACGCCCGATCCGGGCCCCGCACCGGACGGGAGAGAGTGCCTCGCGTGGCGGTGCCATGCATTCCACTTGCCGGACTCGGTGCGCGAGGCACACATGCGCAAATACGGGTGCAACGGGAGCAACACTGGGCCATGCGTTCAGACATGGCGGCAGCGCGCCGCAAAATGGAGCAATTTTGGGCCCTACATCGTCGACTTGGGGCCCCGGAGCGCCAAGGCTGTCGATCAGCGGCCGGCGCTGCACTCGAACGACGTCGGCGGCATGTTTGAGCGTCTCTGGTTTGCCATGTTTGACTCGACTGTCGCCGAAAGGCTACCTCAGAGCCCAGAGTCCCTGTGCTTCTCCGAGGCTGCGCTCCTGGAGGGGGTCGTTCGCTGCGGCGCCAATTGCGTGCACGGCATCTCAGCTCCGGGCTGCGCCTTCACAGATCGGTTGGGGCTGACTCGCCCGCCTTCAGACGCCTTGACTGGCCACGAGGTCACCCGCTGTCTCGCGGCCGGCTGCATGGATGTAGAGGCGCATCTGAATGCGAGCGCAGGCGGGGCGGCGGTGTCGCGGCGCGAGTTGGCGAGGGCCATCAATGCCGTCGACGCCGAGGGCGACGAGGTTGAGCAGGGCTCCTGGATGGAGGCGGACAGCTCGCATCCCGTTCGCCTGAAAAGCGAGGATGTGTGCCGTACGGCTGGCTGCCGAGCGAGCGGTGTGCAACGCGCAGTGTGGAGGTCGGCCACATGTCGCGGGTGGACGACAGGGGGCGCGCCCACACGCCTGCCTGATCGTGAGTGAAGCTGCGACTTGCGTCCGAGATGTGTGTGAGCCGCCCGCGTGTGCGGTGTGATCAAGAAATTCTTATGTGCATGCGCGCCCCCTCTGTACATACACGCACCGCACGTCGTACATTGGCATACCATTGCATATATGTGCACATCGGCGCCGCGGCGGCTCACATTGAAGTCTGACCGACGCGTGACGGCGACTCGAAGAGTGTCTATTATAAGAGTGTGTGCGGCCCCCCGGGTGACGCAGCCTTCGCAGGCTCTCCGTGACTCTCCGTGACATCTCTCCTCTCTGAGCTCTGACCGACTGACCCCTCTTCCTCTGGTCCCGCTCTGACGTCTGTCTGAGAGGATTATTGAGGACTGAGGTGGTCTGTGTAGTCTGAGCCCGCATCGACCATCGTCGGAGCGGGGGAAAGCGCGGTGCCGGTGGCGCACATACCGGGTAACAACTAATCGTCTTGCTACCAATAAAAAATAAACCCGCTCGCTGTTGATCGATGTGCACCCCCGCGTTCCCACACACGGCTCGCCCTCGCGCGCAGGCCGCGCAGGCGTGGACCAGGGTCGGTGTACGGTGATCATGGCAGGGCGTCGACGCGCCTCCCCGTGGCCGCGCTGCCGCTGGACAGATGGACAGTGCAGTGGACTGGGCGCGCGGAAGAAATCCCACTTTATCCAGGAATCACACACAAAAACCGTACGTAAAACCCCAGACGAACTACACAGTCTCCCGATGACACTCCGTCGTCACGTTCTTACGTCGGACTTGGGCCCAGCCTCTGCGGCTGCTGGGACCCCCGGGGTGGCGGCGACCACCGCAGGGTCGGGTCTGGGCGCCGCCGCGGGCCCAACGTCAGCAGTGGGAGGATTCGTGGCGGGCGCCGCTGCGCCTTTTGCCACCTGCGCCGCAGCCCTGTCAAAAGCATCGCCCTCGGCCGATCCTCCGCCGCCGCCGCCGCCGTTGCCAGCGAGGAGCCGCTTGAGGTCCTCCGGCTTGAACTCATCATCGGGCGGCGCCTCGCCGCCGTCTCCGCCAAACCATGACGCCCACGCCTTTTGTGCGAGCGGCGCGCCTACAGCCGCCGGATAGGGAGCGTGAGAGGGCAGCGGGCCCTGTGCCCACCGCCCGACAGCGGGCGGCGACGTGCCCTTGCGTAGGGCGACGGACGCGACCGACGCGATGTTGCCCAGCCCCGCCTCTGCGATCTTCTCGGCCGCCTGCGCCGCCTTCTGGCCAGCCTTCTCGGCGAGCTCGCCCGAGGGGAAGTCGCCGTCGCGGTCCGACACGAACGCGTCCACAAAATCGTCCGGCACGTGGTCGCTGGCAAATATCCTCTGGGCCTGTGCGGTCACGGACGTGTCACAGACGCGTCCACCGACACCTGCCGCGGCGAGTGCACGAAGTGCGTAGAAGGGCGGCAGCACGGCGGCGCGCTCGGTAAAATCGCGCAACTGGCCCAGCAATGCGTCTCGCTCCTCGCGGAGAGCGCGCTGCCCCTCCGCCGAAACCTCGACGGCGGCGACGTACTCGTCCACCGCCTTGCCCACCGCCTCCCGCCGGGCCAGCTCCTCCGCCACGCGCGCCGCCTCGGCCTCCTGCTTGGCCGCCGCCAGCTGCTCGCGCAACGCGGCGGCGGCCGCAGTGGCCGCCTCGAGCGCGCCTCGCGCCTCCGCCTCTCGCGCGGCGGCCTGTGCCGCGCGCTCCGCCGCGCTGCGCTCCGATGCGAGGTGCTCTGCCACCTGAGGCGCACTAATTAAAGTTAACATTCAATTAACGTGCTCTGCCACCTGAGGCGCATTAATTAAAGTTAGAATTCAATTAACGTGCTCTGCCACCTTAGGGGCGCCACTCGCAGAGGGCCTCGTCAGTCTACAGGGGCCCTCCTCTTGCAGCCCTCCTCTTCCAAGAGACTACCCGGCCCTCCGCTTCCACACACACACACACCCGGCCGCGCGCCTTGTCTCTGAGCCGCTGCTCCGAACCCCGCGCCTCGGCCAGCGCCTCGGCGCCGCGCAACGCCTCGCGCTCGGCCGAAGCGCGCTCGACGGCGCGCAGCTCCGCGCCGGCTGCCTCCTTGGCCGCGAAACGCTCCTCCGCCTGCCGCAACCGCTCCGCGCCGGCGGCCGCCTCGCGGCTCCCTTCCGCGCGCGCAGCCTCGAGCCTCTCCCGCGCCATCTCCAGCTCGTGTGCGCGCCTACAGCGCCGAGCAGACGCGCGCAGTCACTCTTGCCCCACACCGCACGCGAGCGCCGCGCAAAGCCACGCGCCCAGTCAGCTCGCGCTCCGCCGCAGCCGCCGCCGCCGCCCGCTCGGCCGCCGCTGCCGCACCCGCGCGGGCGAGCCACGGCAGCAGGTGGTTGCGTGCGGCGATGGTGGTGGTGAAGGC